GGGTTGAACCTGTGGCGCCGCGCGTGCTCCATGGGCAGACGGTCGATGCGGCGCGACGCCCACGGGTCAGCCGCGTCGTGGGCCTTGGGGGATGGGGGTGGAGAGGTGCAGGGCGCGGGGCGGGGGCGGTGGTCTTGTGAGGCACAGAGGAGGGGCCACGAGATGTGTCACGCGGGGAGGACGAGCACGTTCGGTGCGCTGTGGGCGAGCTTTGTGTGCGGGCGAGCCGATTCCGAGCGCATGTGCCATGCGAGCGGGCGGCAAAGGGGCGCCCGCGGCCGTGATCTTGCCCAACCACACGGCCACGGGGTGGCTGGCTTGCTGCTGCAACGGGGTGGCTGGACGGTCACGAAGTAATCAGCGCGGCCACGCCTGATTCTGTTTGTGAACGTGCATGCCGCGCCGCGCCCCGGGGAGCGGCCCCCCACCTTTAGCGCCGCGCGCCGCCAGAGCCCTGCGCTCCCGTGCCCCGCACTGCCGCTCGTGCCCGTGCCGCTGCCGCCGCCGTCCGACGACGCGTCGCCGTCGCCGCCGCCGCCGTCCGCGGCTGGGCCCGACTCGCTGCGGCGCAGCGCGTCGAGCGCGGCGTACTCCGCCGGAGACGCGTCGTAGGGTTGCGGCGCCCCGGCCTCGTCGTCGCCGGCCGCGGCCGCCGTCGGCTCTGTGTCCCCGGGCTCCCGCCAGCGCACGCTCTTGGAGCCGGCGGGTATGGGCACCGGCGCGGCGGGGGGCGCATGGGGCGCGGCGGGCGCAGCCGCGGCTGCAGCGGCGGCAGCAGCAGCGGCGTTGGGCGACGCAGATAGGTCGGCGAGCGCGGCGCGCAGCACCTGGGCGGCCGCGGGGCGCAGGGGGGGCGACGTCGGAGGGGTGAGTGGCGAGAGCGCAAGGGACCGCGCGGATGGCGCGGCTCCCGGCCGCGTGAAACGTGTGCTCACGAAACCGAGTGGGGCAGGCTTTCTCTCGGCTCATTGGGTTCAGGGGGCTGCCTGCAAGGGCTTCAGCGCATGAGGAGGCCCACCTCTTCGGCCGCGGAGGCGCCGTAGGTATCTGCCAGGTAGCCGCAGAGCTCCTCCCTCAGCCACCGCCCGGCCACGTCCAGGGCCAGCCCCCGCAGCAGGCCCGCCGCCGGCAGGGCCGCAGCGCCCGCATCGGCGGTCGAAGGGGACATGGCTTCTGCTGCTGCTGCTGCTGCTGCTGCTGCTGCTGCTGCTGCTGGTGGTGGTGGTTCGGCTGCGTGTGTTCACCGCTGGAGCTTGCTGAAGCGCGTCTGACAGTGCGCCCGCAGGCCGTAGTCACTGCGTCCTGGCGGCGTGGCGGATGGCCGCTGGAGTTGCACGTGAGGTGGGATGGCTTCTGGCCAGGTGCGGCCTGCGTGCGGTGCACATATGGGGGTTGCATAAGGGTTTGGCAACACCTCTGGCCACACTGTAGGCGACCGTGCGCTGTCATATGGCGCCGCTTCATCGCTCGCAGGCCCCGCAGAGCACCGACACAAAGGCTATTGCAGACCAATGATCATGTTATGCAGGAACACCTACTGCAATCTCACTGCTGGGCGCGCGGGTTGTTTCGTTTCCGCTCGCACGATCTCCAGCCAGCTCAATGCAGAGGTGTCCTTCTCTCGAGGAACGCCTGCAAGTATAGTATTGGAACAGATCAGGCTCATGCATTGAGCTTTAGTAACCTGGCAGATCTGGAGTGACTGAGTGACACAGCATTATTCCTGCTCATACCGTACATGCGCGTCGACAATCCTGTTTGGGTATGGTACATCAAGGCAGGAGCGGGGCTTTCCCCATTTATGTCCCTCTCTCTGGTTCGTTGAACGTCGTCCGCTGACCAAGCGTGTGCACCTCATGCCACGACATGCTGTGGCTGGCCCCGCACCATGCACACCCGTGCTGTCACCGTTGACCGCAGATCCAGCGCAAAACAATTACAAAATTAACCGGGTGTGGCCTGCGCCACCCCTACAGCAGCAGGCCGGCCCCTCAGGACCCCCGCAGCCGCCACCCCTCAAAGTCGGCGTCCGCCACGATGCACGCGCTCGCCGCGCGGTGGCCGCCGCCGCCCAGCGCCTCCGTGACGCGCGTGGTGTCCCACTCAGCGACGCTCCTGAGGCTCACCTTGATCTTCCCCGGCGCCATGCCATCCTTAGGACGATACAGAGGGGGCCGTAAGGGGGAGTGGAGGGGAGTTATGGGGCCTGGGGGTGGCGAGAGGGAAGTTTGGACGGGAGGGGAGGGGACACGTGCCACCCGTATCCTCCGCCCAGTGTGTGAAGGGGAATGTGGGGGTGGGGAAAGGTGGCTGCAGGGTTGAAGGGTAAAGTGGGGTGATATCAGCGGAGGAGGGTGAGTGGGTTGAGGGCGGGAACAGACGCATATGGAAGGGTAAGAGAGGTTCTGTGCGTGTGTTGGCAAGAGGCAGGGAGGACAAAACACGCGACAGAGGGGGGGAGCGAAGTGACCACGCACCTGCGTGCACTTGACCTGCAAAGCTGCTGCCCCGCGTCAGCCCCAGGCACGCAACCGTCCCCGTGGTCCGCCCCTGCCCCCCCCCGCCCTGCTCTCACCTCTGTGTAGGCCACCACCCCAACAGGCTCTAACCCCAGCTCCGCGCTCCTCCTGGCCAGCGCGTTCCCCAGGGCGCTGCGCCACCCCACCAGGTCGCCGCTCACAACGCACCCCAGCCCGCGGCCCCAGCCGCGGCCCGCGCCGGCGGCGCCGCCCAGGGACAGCGGCGCGGCGGACGCGACGGCGGCCGCGATCTGGCGCTGCTGCTCCCGCAGCACCGCGGCGCCCTTGAGGCAGAGCGCGGGGTCGTGGGCGGGGGTTGAAACTTGGGGTGGAGATTTGAGGTCGATCCACTCGCTCGATGCGGGCTGGCGGGGTAAGGTGGGTGGCTCGTCGGTGGGGCGCCCGGCCGTCGGCGCCGGCCTCATCAGCGGAGGCAAGCTGCGCTCCCGTGGGGCCAGCACCCCTTAGCCGCCCTCATCGCCCCCCTCGATACCACCC